ACTCATAGTTCCCAGGACAAGGGAGTGTGCCATGGAGGGTGGTGCCAGGAAGCACAGGACTGACTGGGCAGGAGGCAGAGGCAGCAGGAAGAAAACGTAGACAAGAGCCTCTACTGTGGTTCGGTGGGAAGGACTGGGCAAGGCAGGGTCAGCAGGCTAGGGATTGGCCTGTTTGATTAATTTCTGCAGGCTTTGGGGTGTTGGGCCTATCTCTAGTTGCCTGGTACTTGCCCTGGGGCAACGCGGTGGGGGGCCTGGAAGGAGGGGGGTGCGGCCTCTGGATTGGTTGGCTCACATTTGAGAAGCACACTGCGGGTGAGTTCTTTACTCTCTCTAGGAAGTAGTCCTGGGAGGGGCCATCCCTTCAGGGTTGGCAAGGCCCCAGATGTCAAAGCATCAGGAAACAGAAAATAAAAGACATGGTTGGATCTCCTTACACCCACGTGGCTCTGCACCTCAGCTCTGGATTCTCATCCCTGGTGGGGCCGGGGGTCCTCTGTGGACAGGCATGGGCCTCATGCCACTTGAGTGGGGGAACCTGGACCCAGCCTATGTCCTGCCCAGCACCCACCAGGGTGTGGCATGACAGAGACTGTGGAAAGTGGAAGGGGCAGCTCTGGCGCCCACCAGGAAGGCATGCAGGGAGGGGTGGTGTGGGCTGTGGTATGCGGGATGCATGGAAGAGCAAGGACTCCGGGAAGGACCAGAACAATATGCAGGGCCACAAGAAAGAGGCTTTGCCCTTGCCTGGAATTCTTATACTTTTCTGAAGGATCAACTTACACAGAGGGGTAGAGCAGATCGGATGAGATTCTTTTGGGTTAGTCAGAAGTGTGGCACCCAGAGTTACCTGCAGGCTTTTGCTGAAAGCAATCATGTGGCACAGCTGGGAATGACCCCACAGCCAGGGACTGGGCAGAGGGGGGGGGTATCTAAACAGTGTGGCCAGTGCGTCCTGGTTTGTAGACCCCTGGCTTAGAACAATGGGGGTCCCAGGCAGGCATGGGCAGGGGGGCAGCAGGGGGAGCACATTGACTGGAGGGCGAGCTGGGAGAGCTTTGAGTAGGAAGCAGTAAAGGGAGCCCCTCTTAGTGGTCTGAAAAGAGTTACTCTGGTATCGGTGAGGTGGTAGGGAGCAAGGCTAGCCAGGAGGCTACTGCAATAGGCCTGAGCCAGAACCGTGTCCACAGGGATGGACATGTGGGAATTTAAAACAAAAGACATGGGCTGGGTGTGGTGGCTTACGCCTGTAATCCCATCACTTTGGGAGGCCAAGGCAGGAGGATCACTTGAGGCCAAAAGTTTGAGACCAGCATAGTGAAATCCCATCTCTACAAAAAAGGAAAAGGAAAAAAAAAAGTGACAGGACTTGGGGTTGTTCTGTCTATGGGCTGACTCTCAGGTTTCTCACTTTTGTAAAAACGGAGGAAGGTGGAGCCACTCATATATTGAGACACATAGGCCCTGGGCAGGAGCCGGGGGTCTGAGAAATGACCGCTGTTAACTGTGGGAGACTCTGGAGGAAGGAGGAAGTGGCGCTCCCCACAGTCTGTTCCATGGAGTGCTAATAGCTGAACTAAACAGCCATGGCTATGGCCACTCTCAGCACTTTAAGATATTATTCCATTCCCTCTGGCACCTGCTGTCAGACTGGTATTCCTTCCAGGGTGCCTGTCTTTTCCTCTGGTTGTTTTTAAGATTTCCTCCTTGATTTCTGTAGTTTCAATATGATGTATGAGGTGTGGATTCACCTCTGTGTATTCTGTCACTCTTGTCTTCAATTCTTGCACATCCCCAGCCATGATCTCAATACATTTCCTCTTCCATTTCTTTGATTCTCATCTCTGGAGTGGCATTTAGACAGAAGTCAACACCTCTCAAACTCTTTGCCTTTTCCTAACTACATTTTTTTTTTTTTTTGGTGAGATGGAGTCTTGCTCTGTCACCCAGGCTGGAGTGCAGTGGCGTGATTTTGGCTCACTGCAACCTCCGCCTCCTGGGTTCAAGCGATTCTCCTGCCTCAGCCTCCCGAGTAGCTGAGATTACAGGCACGTGCCACCACACCTGGCTAATTTTTGTATTTTTAGTGGAGATGGAGTTTCACCATGTTGGCCAGGCTGGTCTCGAACTCCTGACCTCAGGTGATCCACCCATCTCGACCTCCCAAAGTGCTGGGATTACAGGCTTGAGGCAACGTGCCCTGCCTACACTTTCATTTTTAAAAAAGCTCCTTTGCCTCTCTACACTGCCTTCTGGGTACCACTCTTCCCTCTTCCACGTGACTTTCCCATTCACAGCCCTGTGTGGGATTCCTTTGTCTCTAGCGTTTACCCAGGGCTTTGAGGTTTTCATTGTAACCACTTTGCTCGTCAATTATAACTTTTTTTCTTGTTGGTTCTTTTCTCTACTTGATTTTGTTTCATGATTTCCTGCTCTTTGATCTTTTTGAACATCCTAAAACAACTGTGTAAGTCTAGCTCACAAATAAGCCACTGGCCTTGTGCAGATAGACACGGCCGTTCATCCTGACCAGCCAGCTTCGTCTGGACAGAGAGAGCCACACAGGACTCCTCACTGGTCTGACCCGTCAATCCACTCAGAAAAGCACAGGTCGTGCCATCAGGAAATGATATTTGGGATGAGTGCAATGTCAGAGGCATGAAGTTCATTTGAGGGTGATTATGAGGGAGGCATTCAAACTTTGAGAACTTGGCTTTGCGGAGTTAGATCAGAAAGACAGCGGATCTGATTTCTCTTTGGGCAGAGGTTTGTTTATTCTGTATTCAGAGCCAACAGCTGTATTCGTTTTGAGCTCACTTAAATATTTTTCCACATTTGGGCAGAGTCACTCATTTCCAAGAGAAGGGCACAGTAACATATTGTTATGACTCTCTGAGGACAGGGGACTGTGCATTCATCCTACATCCCCTACCCTGTATCTGCCACACTGCTCAATAAAAGTTTATTGACTTACATTGTAAAATGGTTGTTTAATATATGAGTCATGATATAAATTTTTATATACCATAACTTACATTTTCAGATGGGTGTTACAGCCACTTTGGGAGCCTCTGTCTTAATTGAGCAATGTGGCCATTGCTCCAGAGGTTGCAGGAACCTCACTGAAATTGCTCTATGGCCATTAGATATGAGCCACAGTAGACTGTCCCATGTCAGCTCTGTGGCCACACTTCACATGTATGCATTGTGTGGATGTATATATGTGCGTGTAGATATATATAGGATAAAAATGTAATATTATAACGTAACATGTATATATTACATTCTTATTTAGTTAGAGAAAATATTGGCAAAACCCACTAGCATCTCAAACTCACACCACTGCAACATTTGCAACACCCTCTCTTCCTTTCCTGTATCCCAATTTAACAAAATGGCATTTGGCTCCCACTGAGGTTTCAAAATCTTTCAGTATTTGATAGGTCAACAGTTACAATCGTATGTTGACTTTGCAATATACTATTTTAATGATGTGTTAATACAGAGCAATCCTTGGATGGGATTTCCAGAATTGCTGTTTTATAACTATCAACTGGCATGTTAAAACTAACCTCAGTGGCGAGAAAGCCAGTTGCTGGGGATGCATCGTGAGCCAAAGGATTGTTGAACGTGTGACTGGCACACACAGAAATAAGTTGGAAGTGAGCATGCAGAGACCTCTAAAACTTCTAAAGAACAGTCTGCAACGATCCTGGGTGGGTAATTTGCAAGAGAATTTTTAAAGGGTACTTGGTATTCTAAAGGCTCAGTAGAAACACAGCCCTTAGGGCAGCCCCCAAGTCCCCAGGGACCTACCAGCTGTCCCTCAGTGGAAGTTTCTGCATCTATGATGGGGCCAAGTCAGAAGTGGATAATCCTCTTAAATTGGAGAAGGTGGGAAATAATGCAGGAAATGGAAAGGAAGGGAAGAGGGAAGGAGATGGATGTAGGGAGAGAGGAGAGAATAAATACACGAGAAAGAGGCAGAAAAGTGAGAAGGTAAGATCGGGTGCATGGAAAGATAAAATTTTGGAGAGAGAGACAGGGTGGGGAGGAAAGAGCTTGTTGGAGACTTAAGGGACCCTGTCATTTTCCCTGAGCCTCATCACAGCAGTGCTGGGCTGTTCGTAAATATGGATAATGGTGGGATCTGTGGTAGCCCTGTTAAAGGCTGACGTTTATCCTGATGGCTCTGCCAGGAAGGAGTTTTGTTTTGGCTCTACTGGGCCCCAGCTACCAATGAATTCTTTTTGTTTGTTTGTTTCTTTTTGTTTTTTTGAGACAGAGTCTTGTTCTGTCACCCAAGCTGGAGTGCAGTGGCACAATCTCGGCTTACTGCAAACTCTGCCTCCCAGGTTCAAGCGATTCTCCTGCCTCAGCCTCCCGAGTAGCTGGGACTACAGGTACATACCACCATGCCTGGCTAATTTTTGTATTTTTAGAAGAGACAGGGTTTTGCCGTGTTGGCCTCAAGTGATCTGCCTGCCTCAGCCTCCCAAAGTGCTGGGATTACAGGTGTGAGCCACCACACTGGGCTTCCAACAAACTCTGATTCACTTTTTGCCACAATGGGATGGATTCCCCCAGACATGAGCGTCTAGTCTTTTCCAGGGGAAATCCCAGTGTTCTCCTGAGAAATTCTAGGAGGAAAATCTTCAGATTTCTTGGTCTTTTTTTATTTTCTAGACAGGGTCTCTATCTATCATCCAAGCTGCAGGGCAGTGGCGTGATCATGGCTCACTGCAGCCTCAACCTCCTGGGTTCAAGCAATCGATCCTCCCACCTCAGCCTCCCAAGAAGCTGGGACTACAGGAGTATACCACTACACCTGGCTAATTGTTTATTTTTTTGTAGAGGCGAGGTCTTGTTATGTTGCTCAGGCTGGTCTTGAACTCCTGGCTTCAAGTGATCCTCCCGCCTCGATCCTCCTCCTAAAGGGCTGGCATTACAAGTGTGAGCCACCGTGTCTGGCCTTCTTGGTCATTTTTTAATGTTGTCCCCTGAAATGCTGTGGCTGCTCAGGCTCTGAAAGGGGATGTCTTTCTGAGGAGGGCTTCCAAGCCATGGGGATGACAAGTTCACAGCACACGAGGCATGCCAGTGGTCCCTGGTTAAGGAAATCCCAAAGTGGGTGAGCTCCCATGTCACGCTGGGTCCCAGCCGGCATGCAGGCTTGTCCTGAGGATACCATGAACCATGCAGTTAGAGCTTTTATTCTAGAGACACCAGGTGGTGGTGCCACATCAGGCTTTTCAATGATCCTCTCCTAGACCATGAACGTTCTCTGCCTTCTGAGTCGTCACTTTCCTATTCCACAGATAAAATGAAAAAGCGAGAAAACAGCTTCTATCACCATGACAGCCACCTGGAAACACCTATCTCTGTTGGCAACGGGGAGCATTTGGAAAGTGGTAAGCATCTTTTCCTTATTGATTTACAACTGGTTGTCCAGATGTTTGTATCATTTGAGGTATAAGCCAAAAAAAATTATTAGAATATGTTTGACTAGGCGTGGTGGCTCATGCCTGCAATCCCAGCACTTTGGGAGGTTGAGGCAGGTGGATCACTTGAGGTCAGGAGTTTCAAGACCAGCCTGGCCAACATGGTGTAAACCCCACCTCTACTTAAAATACAAAAATTAGCCGGGTGTGGTGGCATGCATCTGTAATCCCAGCTACTTGGGAGGCTGAGGCAGGAAAATCGCTTGAACCTGAGAGGTAGAGATTGCAGTGAGCCAATATGTGCCACTGCACTCCAGCCTGGGCGACAGAGCAAGACTCTGTTTCAAAAAAAAAAAAAAAAGTTAGAGTATGTTCTTATTACCCAGTATAAACATGTCCTGGTATAATCTTTAGCTTATCTGAAAATAATGTAAACAATAGAATGGGAACTAACAAAGGTTAAGTATATTCACTTAGCAGGTACACATGCTGGGCACCGGGGCTCCAGCGATACAAAAGTGCTACATGAGTTCCCTGTGTGGGGAGCTTGCTTTCTAGACGGGAAAGTGACACTACACAAGCAAAAACGTTAATAATACTGGGTTATGAGAAGTACTGAGGGGTGCTTAAAGACAGTAACTGTGACTGGGAGGCCATGTTAGCTAGATGTTTGGAACAGCTGTGTGAGGGGTCACGTGGGAACTGAGACATGACAGATGCAGAGATTTCAGCAGTGGAAAGACCATCAGGATAAGAGATGGGAGTGTTACCTAAGCGGGGAGCAGCACCTGCTGAGGCCCGAAGGCGGGGAAGAGGGCGGAAGCCTCGCAGCAGACAGAAAGGAGATTGGCTGGGCGTCCTGTGTGAGAAGGACAGGGTAGGAGAGGAGGGAACAGGGGTCTGAGAGGACCACAGGGTTGAGAAGCTATCAGGGTGTTAAGCAGGGAATGTCACTTATGTTTTTGTTATGATTTACGTTTTTCCGATATTACCCTGGCTAGGGTATGGAGAGTGTGTCGGAGGGAGACGGTCAGGAAATGTGATAGTCTGAACGTTTGTATCTTCCCAAAATTCAAATGTTGAAATTTAATCCTCAGTGCAGTGGTGTTGGGAGGTAGGGCCTATGGGAGGTGATTAGGCCACAAGAGTGGAGCCCTCATGAATGGGATTAGAGTCCTTACTAAGAGAAACCAGAGAACATGTTCGCCCTTCTACCATGTGAGGACTCGGTGAGAAGGCAGACCCTTCAAGTACAGTGGGAGTCCTCACCAGACACTGATTCTGCTGGTGCCTTGATCTTCCAGCCTCTGGAACTGGGAGCGGTATGTCTCTGTTTGTAAATTACCCAGGCTAAGGTGCTTGTTATAGCAGTCCTAATGGACTATGATAGGAAGGTACTGCAGGGTCCTGGTGAAATGTCTGTGACTTGGCGCACAGCCACCATGTGGCAGTGAAGATGGGGAGAAGCGGGCAGATTAGAACCATCCTTTGGAGGTAGAACCAATGGTACTTGTGGCTGAATTGGGTTGAGGATAGGAAGGGAAACCGAGGAAAGAAAGGTGACTTTGATGTTTTGATATCAGACATTAGTTGGTTAGTGGTGCCATTTACTGATTTGGGGAAGCCACAGTTAACTGGGAATTTAATTTGTAAAAAATCTAAGTTTAAGGCATATGGTGTATGGTGTGGTGTGCCACACAGATCCTCCCTCAGGACTGAGGGGTGTCCCCCGCTGCCAGGAGTGGTGGCTGCTCACAGCTGAGTCTGTCCCCAACACCCTCTCAGCAGAAGACAGCGAACTCTCAAGATGGCATTCGTCCTGTGATATATGAAGGCTTGCCCCCTTGCCTCTGTTTGAGACAACTGTTCCACTCTACAGCGCCCCATGGTACCTGCCTGTGCCAAATCCTTTCTCACCCATCACAGGATTCCCGAGGGCACCTCCCAATCAACCTCCCCACAAGCCTCTATCTCAGACTGGCTCCTGAGAACCCAAACTAAGGCAGATGGTGCCAGGAGTGGTCCTAGGAAGCAGACCCTAAGATAGGACTTTGGAGCTGCCATCACCTGCCAGCTGGATACAAGAACCCCCCCGTACCACCCCCCTCCCCCCACATCACCGCTTTGCGCTTCGTAAGATAATAAAATGCTGCGGTTAGTATCAGGATCACTCTCCTGGTCACCAGATTCCTAAGTCACAATATAACTCGGGCTGGCAGGGCGAACGAACTAGACCCGACATGCGCTGCAGGCCCTAGCAACGGCAATGACATGCAGCCACCCAGCGAACAGCTGGTCCAGAACCGGCGGAGCACCTGAGGCCGGATAAGGAACGGCCGGACATCAAGGTAGCGGGGGAATTTCTACCTTGCAGTGGGAGTTCCTCTGCCATTGATTTTAACTCCCCGAGCCTGGGAGGCGTAATGCCACAGAATCTGGGGACAGATGATGGTCTCAGCAAATGCATAGAAGTGTCATGTCAGGACCAGACATGGTGGCCTCACGCCTGAATCCCAGCACTTTGGGGCCGAGGCGACCGCATCACCTGAGGTCAGGATTCAAGACCAGCCTGGCCAACATGGCAAAACCCCATCTCTACTAAACTCAAAATTACCCAGGCGTGGTGGCGGCATCTGTAAATCCCAGCTACTCACGAGGCTGAGGGCAGGAGAATCACTTGAACCCGGTAAATGGAGGTTATCAGTGACTGAGATTGTAACACTGCCACTTCAACCTTGGTGACCAGGCTAGATTCCTCTCAAAAAACAACAAAGAAGTTGATGGTAGGTAGAGACAGAGGGTTCAGAGGATCAGAGGCTGGGCTGCTACGGAGAAATTATCTCTGTTAAGCTGGAACACCTTCCCCTAGCCCCCCTCTGATGGTTCCATAGGAGGGTCTGAGGGAACTCCTCCATTTCCCAAGCAGTGGGGAGGTCTGCTGAAAGGGCAGCCGCAATTGTGGGAGGAAGTTGCCAGCAGAACGTCCCTATAGGTCATGTGACAGCAGGGGATGCTAGTGCAGAACTGGGCTCCCTGATAGCAATTAGGTCTAATAGGATCCCTAAACAAAGCCATAAGGGTAAGCCCTTCGCATCAGAAAAAAGGGTGGCGTGTAAGATCATGATGAGCAGCAAGGTCAGGAGAAGCAGCAGGGGACTGAGCATACAGATAGGGTTGGAAATAGTTAACAGAGCCCTACTAGGGCAAAGACAGATGAGCAGCCACTTTCCCATCTATTAACTCAATTCATTGTATATTTATAGTATTACTCAGTTTTACACATCAAATAAAAAAGGATGATCACAAGAGCAAACACTGTCAAACATGATATCTTTGCCCGTTTCCCAAGTCTGAACTGGTTTTCTTTTTTTTTTTAAATTATACTTTAAGGGCCGGGCGCGGTGGCTCAGCCTGTAATCCCAGCCACTTTGGGAGCCGAGATGGGCGGGATCACGAGGTCCAGTGAGATCGAGACCATCCTGAGCTAACACAGTGAAACCCCGTTCTCTACTAAAAATACAAAAAACTTAGCCGGGCGAGTGGCAGGCGACTGTAGTACCAGCTACTCGGGAGGGCTGAGGCAAGGAGAATGGCGTGAAACCCCGGGAGGCGAGCTTGCAGTGAGCTGAGATCCGGCCACTGCATCCAGACCTGGGTTTTTGACCAGAGCGAGAATCCGTCTCAAAAAAAAAAAAAAAAAAAAAAATTATACTTTAAGTTCTAAGGGTACAGTGTATAACATGCCCAGGCTTTTGGGTTACATATGTATACTTGTGCCATGTTGGTGTGAATGCACCCCATCAAAGCATCAACTAGTCAACCACCCATCATCTCGTCATTTACAATCAGGTATAACTCCCAATGCAATCCCTACCCCTCCCCCTCCCCAGTGATAGGCCCCGGTGTGTGGATGTTCCCCTTGCCCGAGTCCAGTGATCTCATTGTCAGTTCCCACCTATGAGTGAAACATGCGGTGTTTGGTTTTCTTGTTCTTGTGATATTTGCTGAGAATCGAGGGTTTCCAGCGCATCCATGTCCCCTTACAAAGGACACAAACTCATCCTTTTTTATGGCTGAATAGTATTCCATGGTATATATGTGCCACATTTTCTTAATCCAGTCTGTCACTGCGATGGACATTTGGGTTGATTCCAAGTCTTTGCTATTGGTGAATAAGGTGCCGCGAATAACATATGTGTGCCCGTGTGTCTTTACTAGCACATGGATTTATAATCCTTTGGGTATACACCCAGTAATGGGATGCTAGCGGGTCCATATGGTACTTCTAGTTCTAGATTCTTAAGGAATCACCAATACACTGTTTTTCCATAATGGTTGAACTAGTTGCAGTTTCCACCAACAGTGTAAAAGTGTTCCTATTTCTTCCATATCCTCTCCAGCACCTGTGTTTCCTGACTTTTTAATGATTGCCATTCTAACTGGTGGTGAGATGGTATCTCAATATGTGCGTTTTGAATTTGCATTCTCTGAACCGGCCCAGTGATGATGAGCATTTTTTTCATGGTGGTCTGTTGCCTGTAATGAATGTCCTCTTTGAGAAATGTCTGTTCATATCCCTTTGCCCACTTTTTGATGGGGTGTTTATTTCTTGTAATTTGTTTGAGTTGTTTGTAGGTTCTGGATATTAGCCCTTTGTCAGATGAGTCAGACTGCAAAAATTTCCTCCCATTCTGTAGGTTGCCTGTTCACTCTGATGGTAGTTTCTTTTGCTGTGCAGAACTCTTTTAGTTTAATTAAGATCCCATTTGTCAATTTTGGGCTTTGCTTGCCGTGTTGCTTTTGGTGTTTTAGACATGAAGTCTTTGCCCATGTCCTATGTCCCTGAATGGTAATTCCTAGGTTTTCTCTAGGTTTTTTATGTTTTGTATTAGGTCCCCTAACATTTAAGTCTCTAATCCATCTTGAATTAATTCCTTCGTATAAGGATTAAGGAAAGGATCCAGTTTCAG